ACTATAATTTGACGTGAATTTTTACATGAATTGCTCTACGAGTGAGACAATTATTTTACTGGCCGCACAGGCATACGCCAACTGCCATTAGATATTGTCATGAGAACAGCAACTGTGCGGCGTTAACATTGGCTACTTCGTTTCGGTGAGCGTACAAGTTGATATACGAATTAAAGGCACTTTATATGATAATGCACATATGCTGGTATAAGATAAATGATAATAATTATACAGAGAATCGTATACGTAAGGGTGACCCAGGCTTGTAGACTGGCAAGGTCACGAGTCGAGTCAAAGGACAAAGTTCTCACACAGATTAATAACGCCAAATGAAGCGATGTCTCTCTGTGTAAAAAAATAGAAACTCATGCAGTCTGGGATACTTTAGATTAGGGATTAGGTTAGGGTTTGTGTTAGTGTTAGGGTTAGGGATAGTGTTAGGGGTAGGGTAAGTGTCGGGGTCAGAGTTAGGGCTGGTGTTAGGGCCACAGTTAGAGTCAGGGCTAGAGGCAGGGTTAGGGTTATGGTTAAAGTTAGGGTTAGTGTCAGAGTTATGGTCAGGAGTAGGAACAAAGTTAAGGTTAGGGTAAGAATTAGAGTTAACGTTACAGTTAATGTTAGGATTAAATTACAGCTAAAGTTAGAATCATGATATAGATAGGGTTAGGAATAGGTTAATACAACGGTTGGTTAAGGGTTAATATTATGGCTAGGGTTAGGGTTAAGGGTTAGGGTTAAGGGTTACATTCCGACTGTACAAAGGGAGATATATCTTGCAGCTCTATGAATTTGCTGCTGGGCTGAGAGGTGCTTCTTACACCCCCCCCCCACACACACACACACACACACACACACACACACACACACGCACTCCCTACACACACACACATAAACAACCACGTCGACGACTCACACTATACACTCTTCATATCCGCATTCACTACGACAATACTTACAAATAACTTCGCGTCACAAAGCAAACAAGCAAACAAACGTAAAGTCGTTCGTCTGATGCATGATATCAAGAACTCGCATACTTAATACGCTCTTGATGATACCATGCGATCGGCGGGTGTGTTTAGAGTACCGTATCTCGCCGTCTATCGTAGCTGTGGTCTCTCTTCAAATAAATTTAATCAGAGGGAAAAACGCACCCCAGCATAGCATAGCGGCCACACATCGCTATGAGCGTCTCGTCTAGTGACGGCATGCGGGCTTCGTTTCTAGAGCAACGTATCTCGCTCACTACTAGCCAGGGTGTGTTTATACATTAAACCTAATCAGACGATGAAAGAACGCTATCATATTACCGCCCACACAGCGCCCTCTAGAGCTTCTCGTCTGATGAATGACGTCACGCGGGGATGCTCAGGGGGCGTGGTGGATAGAGCGACTGGTGTTGTGGCATGGCCCTGTGCAGTCAGCGTGGGTTAACCCTATATATGACGCATTACAGGCGGGCGCTACAAATCCATGTTTTACATCAAATATTTGCATATTCGCAAGGCTGTGTTTACCCTGGTATATCATATATATGTGTGTATATATA